ACACACACACACACACACTCTCACACACCCACAGCCCACAGTGTCAGTTGGGCTCATTCAGCAGCAACAGACACTCTGAGCTGTTTGTTTGGTTGTTTGTTTACCTGGTTGTTTATTTGGTTGTTTGTTGGACGCTGCAGGTGAGTAGCTGCTGTTTGTGTGTTTTTTACAGTCAGGCTGTTTTTGTGGGTTCAGGAGATACTTTTTAAAAAAAATGTGTTTATTGCTTCGCTCAGTGCAAGCAACATGAAGATAAACTGATGATTGATGATGATGATGATGATGATGATGATGATGATGATGATGATATGGTACATGTTCTACATGTTTTAGCCTGCTTGCTGCTTTCACTGCATGTGAGGCTCTTAATGTGGAGGACCGGAGGGCTGTGATTGGCTGAGAGCTGTAGAGAAGTGGGTGTGTGTGTTTGCAACTCTAACATGAAGTTTTGCTGTTAATGGCGGCAGGGATCCTGTTTGTAGGACAGCTGGGATTTTCATGTCTCAGCACTGGTCAATGTGGACATGTCGTCTTTCTGAAAGTTCGATTTATTCAGATCGTAATAAGTTTGAGAAGAGAGCACGGGGCTCTAACACGTTTTCATTATTTTAGTTCACTTTCTGTGTAAAATCCTTGTTAAAAATCTCCACTAACATTTTGTTGTTATTTACCTCACTGTTCTTACGTTTTACTAATTTATACTAAATGTTAAATTTTAATTTGTCTAAATCTCCTAGTGTTAAAGTTAAATCTTACAGAGCCCACGAGGGGACATGGGGTGATTTTTTTTCTATTGTGTTACCTCACAAATGTTTGCTTTGTAGGCTATGAAATGAATTAAATCAGACTTTTATTTTGAAATATCTGGTTACCAAAACAGGAAGTGTCGCCACAAGTCCGAGTAATTCATGATTATATTTTGTGGCCGCACAGTTAAAATATCTGCATATTAAATAACTTCGTGTGTGTTTGCGATACATTTAATCCAAAGCTGAATTAAAGTTGTAGCTAACTCCGTATCCTGGTGAGCACGTGAATTTGTTAATAAACCGGCAGGAACAACTGTAATGAACGGCTTAAAGTATGTGCCCTCACGGCTCCGTAAAATATTAAAAGTTGTGATTAAATGTTGTAATTTACTTTTAAGTATTTCAGAATGGAACTCAGCCTTTGCTGTTGGTTCTCGGCTCTTGTTATGATGTCATCATCCTGAGACAAAATCAAACGCTAACACTGCTAAAGCTGCTAACGCTTCTCTGCAACTTATCAAACTTGCAGTAGCCACCGGTGTCTGAGCTACACTTCAAACTACTGGATCACATGTTGTTTTCAATGAAGACACTTTTAATTAAAAAAATTTAAACACTACCTTCAGCAGTGTTAGCAGTATTTGTAGCATTAGCAGTATTCGTATTGTTAGCAATATTTGTAGCTTTGGCAGTATTCATAGTGTTAGCAGTATTCGTAGATTTAGCAGCATTCGTAGCATTATCAGTATTTGTAGCATTAGCAGTATTCATAGCTTTAGCAGTATTCATAGCATTAGCAGTATTTGTGGCATTAGCGGTATTCGTACCGTTAGCAGTATTTGTGGCTTTAGCAGTATTCATAGCATTAGCAGTATTTGTAGGGTTAGCAGTATTCGTAGCGATAGCAGTATTTGTAGTGTTAGCAGCATTCATAGCGTTAGCAGTATTCATAGTATTAGCAGTATTCGTATTGTTAGCAGTATTTGTAGCATTAGCATTATTTGTGGGGTTAGCAGTATTTGTAGTGTTGGCAGTATTCATAGTATTAGTAGTATTCACAGTATTAGCAGTTTTTGTAGCATTAGCATTATTTGTAGGGTTAGCAGTATTCGTAGCATTAGCAGTATTTGTAGTGTTAGCAGTTTTCGTAACATAAGCAGTATTTGAAGTGTTAGCAGTATTTGTGGCGTTAGCAATATTCGTATTGTTAGCAGTATTTGTAGCATTAGCATTATTTGTAGGGTTAGCAGTATTTGTAGCATTAGCAGTATTCGTAGCATTAGCAGTATTCGTAGTGTTGGCAGTATTCATAGTGTTAGTAGTATTCATAGTATTAGTAGTATTCACAGTATTAGCAGTTTTTGTAGCATTAGCATTATTTGTAGGGTTAGCAGTATTCGTAACATTAGCAGTATTTGTGGCGTTAGCAGTATTCGTATTGTTAGCAGTATTTGTAGCATTAGCATTATTTGTGGGGTTAGCAGTATTTGTAGTGTTGGCAGTATTCATAGTATTAGTAGTATTCATAGTATTAGCATTATTTGTAGCATTAGCAGTATTCGTAGTGTTAGCAGTGTTAGCGGTTGCTTTAGTTGCAGGATGATGATGTAATTAGAGCTGAGCACCAACACTAAAGACTGCGGTTCATTCTGAAACACTTAAATGTAAACTTTAACATTTAACCACATTAAAAAAACTGATAAAAATGTATGTTTTTAAACACAAACCTGAAGCAAGAGTTAATCTGTTTTTTGTTGTTGTTGTTGTTGTTGTTTTGTATACGTTTTGTTCTCGTTTGAGCTTACGAGATTAATTTAGTGAATGTCAATATAATCAAAAATCGTCTCTTCTGCAGACATGATACCCAAGACTCGTCTGGGGAAACGCTCCCCCTTTGGGTCGCTGGTGAGTGAGACAGGAAAGACTGACATCACCATGGCCACAGTGGGAGGACAGCTAGGCATCGGCAAGGTGAAAGGTCACGCAGATCTGAAGGTGGGGGAGAGACACAACTGTGAAACATCTTTCAGCATCTTGAAACGATAACATTCCTAAGTTTTATTCAACCTTTACCAGGTGGGAAGTACTTTTAAAGGAAACCAGTTCAGTTCAGTTCTGAAAGAAGGTTCAGAGGTCAGGGTCAGGACACTTCCAGCTGACAGCTGCCTCAGCCAATCACAGCTGGCTGTCTTTGTTTCCTTTCAGTTCGGAGGCGAGCCATCAGGCGTCCTCATTCAGCTGGATATTTCCAACCAGCCTCCATCTTGTCTCTCGTCTTCATGGCCAGCCTCTCAGGCCTTTGGCAAATCAGCCAGCATCAACATTCCCAAAAGGTCAGGCCCCTCCCACCTCTGTTTGTTATTTATTGTTTATTGATAAACGCGCTGACACCAGTCACTTGTCACCTGCAGTCACAGAAATCGTATGGAGGTGGACATGGACGAGCTGATGGCAGCCATGGTGCTCAGCAGCCTGTCCTGCAGCCCACTGCCGCTGCCGCCGCAGAGCTCCGCCCACAGAGAAGCTGCAGGTACAAACAGAGGGACTGAAGGTCCCACTGAGAGGGCGTTTCCAGAACACAGCTTCTGTGAAACTTTAAGCCTAAAAAACAAAATCCGTTTTAACTGAGTAAGTTGTCCATTAGTTTAGTAAACAGGGGTCTCTGCAGTACAGAGGGGGAGTGTCTTATCTGTGGGTGGAGTTTGGAATGTGGGCGGAGTTTGGCAAAACCACGATTGGTCAGGTTGACCTGTCTGGTCATAGTGTAATTATTGTGAACATGTAAACATAATTCACTGACTTCAAATTTGTTGCGACGAGATTCTTCCAGTCTCGAGTTATACATTTTTTGATTTTTTTTTCGACTGAGCTACACGCCCCCAAAACACTCAATCCAACCAATCACGTCTTTAACAAACCACGCCCATAAAAGTCAAACAGACCAATAACGTCTTTGGCTACGTTCACACTGCAGGCAAATCCGACCCAAATCCAATTTTTTTGACCCATCTGACTCATATCCGATTTTTTTATGACAGTCTGAACGAGACAAATCCGATTTTTTCAAATCCGACCCAGGCCGTTCCAGTATGTGGTTTTAAATCGGATACATATCTGATGTTTTCAAAGTGACTGCAGTGTGAACGCTCATGTCACATTCATCTGACTTTTTCATCAGGAGGAGGAGGTGAAGGATCGATAAGACACTAACCTCAAGTCTCGCTGTTTAAATCTGTAGCTCCATGTGTTTACAGCTCCAAAACACAAGTCCAGTTGCTTCATCTTTTTACTTTTCATTTTCCACGTAGATAGTTTGATAATAACGATGTCCAGCCTGGGTCGTGGAAAGTATCGATCCTAAAGTTAGCTACTCGGTCGATACTTTTTCCAGCTCGTAGTTTTGTTAAAAAAAAAGCTTCACTGGAGCATCCCGGTCAGAGGCAGCTTCAGATATAAACACTGAACTAAAGAAGCAGGTCAGATAATTATTTAATCGGCTCTGATTAAACAACAACTTCCGATTCGATGTGCAAAATGTAGCATCCATGCTAGCTCTGTAAACAAACAAGCCGGCTGATGAGACGTCACGTCTTTTACTGCGCATGTGTGTCACATCAGTGCTGTGTAGCGTTCACACAGGGGTCTGATACAGGTCACATTTAAAATGTAATGTGAACGTTCACATTTAAAATGTAATGTGAACGTTCACACAAAAAGATCGGATTTTTTCAAAAAATCGGAACTGAGCATTAAGACCTGCAGTGTGAACGTAGCCTCAGCCAAACTCCTCCCACAAAACAAGAACCTCCCACTTAGTGACTGCAGAGATCTTCTTCCTGGTTTAGTGAAGAATCTGACCGGCTGAGATAACCTGGATTTTAGGGAACTGAGAGCTTCCAGGACAGGAAACGAAAAGTTCAGCGTATTTATTTATTTTACTTCTTATGGTTTCATATTTTTACTTTTGAGTTTGATCAAAACTCTGAGTAAGTTAACTTTGAGTTTGGGAAAAACTGAGTAAACTAAACCTGAGTTTTTGGAAACTCTGATTAGACTAAACTCAAGTTGAGGGGGAAATTAGTAAAATAGTGACGTTTTAAAAAAACTCAGTAATTAAACCCGAAAGCTCTTAATAAGTTAACCCAAAGTTTAAAAACTAAGAATGTAGTCACATTTTCAGTACGTTACCATGGAGTCAAATGAAACTCTGACCATTATGCAGAGTTTAGTGAAACTCAGACTAAATAACTCTGAGTTTAGTGAAACTCAGACTAAATAACTCTGAGTTTAGTGAAACTCAGACTAAATAACTCTGAGTTTAGTGAAACTCAGACTAAATAACTCTGAGTTTAGTGAAACTCAGACTAAATAACTCTGAGTTTAGTGAAACTCAGACTAAATAACTCTGAGTTTAGTGAAACTCAGACTAAATAACTCTGAGTTTAGTGAAAATCAACGATTCTGTAGAATATTTGTTTGTTTCTTCCAGCTCCATCAAAGTCCAGTGTCGGGGGCATCGAGCTCTCCGACAGCGGCAGCAGCGGCTACTGGAGCATCGGCCTCGCCCCCGGAAGCCCCGCCTCCACCTCACCGCCGCCTCCTCCTGACAGTGGCACAGCCACACCCCCCGATGACGGCTTGGACATGGAGCTGGATCAGGTTCTGTTTGAGGATCCAGCGCCTCGTAAGCGCAGGGTGAGGGAACCGAAACGGTCAGAAAAGGACGAAACGTGACCACGCTGGGTGTTGACGTGCGTTTCCTTCCACAGAACTCCCTGAAGATGGCGTACAAGTGCTTGTGGCCGAGCTGCGAAAAGGTGCTGACGTCTGTGGTGGGAATCAAACGTCACATCAAGACGACTCACCTGTGGTAAGACTCGCCTGGCGGACGGAGACACGTCTCCTCTGCAGAGGTGAAACACCTGCTGACCTTTGACCTTTTGTGCTGCAGCCATGGCAGTGAACACGAGGAAGACTTTTACTACACCGAGATAAACCAGCACCAGTCTCCCCCCGCCTCACCCCCCTCCCCCTCTTCACCTCCCTCGCCCCCTCCTCCGTCCCCTCCGTCTCCCCCTGCCTTCACCTGCAGCACTCTGAGTCGCTCCGTCCCCTCCAGCACCAGCAGCTCCTGGCAGGTTCAGACTGAGCACTCCTACCAGGTGGGAAGTTTTTATTCACTTTATTAAATCAACTTCAATCTGCAGATCCTGGAATTAACTGAAATACATCTGTTAAACAAAAAACACCAGAAATAAAGTCCAAATAAGGTCAGGAGGAGGTACTTCCTGTTGGCGCACTTCTGAAAGCGACATATATTATTTACGTTTGTATTTTATTATGAAGGATAATTCTAACAAACTAGTCAGTGTGCATTACCAATGCGATGCACACTATTGTGATTCGTTTCCCATCCAAGTCATCTCAACTTTGCCACGCTACTCCTCCTGCATACTTTGTCCTAGAGCTGCCATTGTAATTTATATCTGTAAATCTCCTGTGCTAAATGATGGCTATGCCTTTTGGTGCCTGTAAAACATATAGTTTTTGCAATATTAATGTTAAATAAGTTATAATGGCAGTCAATGGAGCCTTGTATTGGTCCAATGCTGCCCCCTGCTGCATCTACACAATTTGTAAAACTCAGTAGTTCAGTGATTACAATATTAATATGATTGTATTATGATGTTTTACTGTAATACTGTGTTAATGTTGTCCTATTGTTGTAATATATTGCAGTTTAATGTCAACGATTGCATTGGCAATGTGGCCTCTTTCTGCACACATACAAACTGCCACAGCTCTAATGGTCTAATGGTTAGTGCCATGGGCTTTCATGTGGGAGATCAGGGTTCAAAACCCAGCTACAGTAACTTAACAGAAAATCTCTACACACTTCGTATGGTCACAGAATAATCCTCATTACAAACACCTGCTGACTTGACAAGCACAAGCTGGTAAAGAAATCACATTTGAACTTGCTCACAGTTCATTCTGCAAGTCCAATGCTGTAGGCAAAGGCATGCTTACATGGCAATGCACACTTGTTTTTACATCGTAAAAACCCATGTCTAGTTTTTGTTCATTTTCATCAACAGAAGAAATGAATCTGAAAATTAATTTGTAACAATGTTCTTTCCTTTAGGCTCTGCCACTCAACCATGTGGTGTCTCTGGCAGCTCCGCCCACCACCTGCAGCCGACAGGTAAACCCCGAAATCACTCGGAGAGCTGTAATTTACCACAAATGACACGAGCAACACTGTGATTTAACAGGACTGTCTCTTATATCCTCTTCCCACCCCGCTCTAGCCAAGGTGGGGTCTCAAACTTTTGCATTTCCTGTCAAAATGCAGCGAAAGCTCATTGTTGTTGAAAGTTGCTGAAGTTTAGTCAAGTAAAAGAACAGTTAGCAAAAAAAAAAAAGATAAAAGTAGCAGAAACAAGTTGAAATTAGCAGACAGTTGGTGAAAGGAGAGAAAAATAGCAGAAAAAAACAAGAAAAGGAATACTAAAAAGTTGCAATTTTTCTGTAAAATAGCTAAAACAGCTGAAATTGACTGAAAAATGACTTAAAAAGTAGCTGAAGAACAGAAACTAGCAGAAAGAACAGAAAGCACATTTGCTTAATTAAGCTGTAAGAAGCTGAAAATTATCACCGAAAAAGAAAGATTAGCGGAAATAAAGCTGAAATTTGATAAACAGTAGCTAAAATGACAGATAACAGCTGGAATTACTAGAAAGTAGCTGAAAGCTAAAAGAAAAAAAAAACCGTTGAACTAAGTAGAAGATTTTATCTGAAAGAAACAGAAAGATAGCTGATAAGAGACAGAAGTAAAAGGAAAAAACTAAAGAAAACTGAAATTAGCACAAAGATGTTAAAAAAATTAGAAGCAGCATTCAATTTAAAAAATACTTCATTGATTCCAGTACAGCAGAAAAGGTAAGAACGACAGCTAAAAACTAAGCTAAAACTGGTAAAATAGAAGCCGAAAGAGGCTGAAATAAGTACAAAGTAGTTAAAAAGGGAGAAAAGGTACAAAATTCAGTAAAAATTTAGAGTTTTAAGGAAGTTTAATAACAGCTACATTCAGTTTCAATGAGAAAAACGTGGCAGAAAAAACTAAATATCTCAAAAAGAATAAATTGTTGAAATACTAAAAGTCAGCTAGAATGTCCTGAAGGAGCTGAATTTTTTAAATATGTTGAAAAAGCACAAAAACTACTGAATTAAAAACAGTTGATTCCCGGGGCCATTACTGGATGACACCAAAAATCAGTGGCCGTGGTTAAACTAGCTTAAATAAGCCAGAGTTGAGGAAACAAACCTAACCTGAACCTGACATCCAGCTGACTGTAATGTGTGTTTGTTTCAGGGCATGACGTTCCGGGTGCGCTCTGTCAGCGTCGGAGAGCAGTGGCTGCAGAACCACAGCGCCCCCTGCAGGTCGGTGTTTCTGACTTCTCTCGGTTCTGAGTTTTCGGACCGGCTGCTAACTCCTGCACGTCTGTGTGCTCAGCAGGAGGATCCGCAGCGAGGCCAAGAAGTGCCGTAAAGTTTACGGCATCGAGCACAGGGAGCTGTGGTGCACGGCGTGCCGCTGGAAGAAGGCCTGTCAGCGCTTTCAGGACTGATCGACCTGCTGAGGAACACGTCTGCTGAGGAAGAGGAAGCAGAAGCGGAGAAGAAAGAGGGAGCTGGGGTTTCACCGGCTCATGTTTGTGTGTTCTACCTGTACAGTCTATCTCTGGACTTGTTGGAGACGTTCGGCAGCTTTGAAGGAGAGGGAAGCCTGCAGCGTCCCTCAGGACAGAGACGGTTGAGTCCAGCCTCTTAAAGAAGACAAACGGTTCATTCAGGCTCAGGTTTTAGTCCGGCCTCTTCTCCAAGCATGTCCACGTCATCCTCTGCTGAATTGGTGGGAGTCCTCGGGGGAGACCTGTGGTGGTCCCGATCGAGAGAAAGCTGGGGTCAAGTCAACCCGTCCCCTGAGCCACGCCCCACTCTGGTGTAAAAACCACTCAGTAGCCTATATGCCACGGTCATTAATGACGTATATCTGGTAGAATTCCAGCCACGCTCCTCCCTTCCACTTCCTGGTTACTGACCATGTTTTTAGCGTTAGCTCCTAGAATAAGTCCGTTAAAAGGTCACAAAAGTTAAAGCATCTGTGATCTACTGGTATAAAACGTGAGTTCTGTTGTGTGCCATTGTGTCCACTAAGCAGCAGGTATGATCGAGTAGTTCGTTTTTATCCTTTTTCCTCTTGATGAGGAGGTGACAGCAGAGGATCATAGCATTACAGGGAAAACTTATCTTTAAAAGCTCACGCTTGTGTTTGTAATCAGCATTTCTAACCTGAGGATATTCAAGAGTCAGCATCAGAAATGAGAAGACGGAGGTTACAAAAGGGAAATGTACATTTATCCCCTTTACTGCCAAGACGAGAGAGGAAAGACCTCCTCACAGCTAGCAGGAAGCTAACACAGCAGCCGGTACAAAGGTAGGTGTGTGTGTGTGTTTGTGTTATACAGAGCATGAAATGTTTTTAGGCAACTTTGTCGTGTTTTATGCAAAAGTAAAAACTTGTTAGAGTGTATATTACTGCGTAGACAAAACACGAGCGTCGAGCCCCCCACCCCCCGAAAACGAGAGCAGCAGATCATCACGTTTTCAGTTCACTAACGTCGGGGAAAACGATCCAAACCATACAAGTAACCAATCAGTTTAAAGCCCAGACTCTGCTCTTTCCAACAATATAAGAGTCACAGCTCTACGTGAAAAATTCACACAACAAGCAGCCAAGGAATAGTGAAAAAGGCTAAATTCTGGAACCAWAAACACAAAMGTCTTTCCTTTGTTTTTATGACTTTAATCCACTTTGGAGTGATTTTTTTCCACTTGGCTGGACCTGTACGTCTCCTGTGTTAATGTTGGTACCTGTAATATGATAATTCTGTACTGTGGAGATCATTAAGAGTCGTTGGGTGAAAAAAATCCTTCGTTAACACTGTGTTGACCGTGAACCGGAAGTGGTCAGACGTGCTGGACATGATGTCTGTGGCATATAGGCTGTTGTTTACTCACTTTATACTTTCCCATCATTCCTTTCTTCACCTGTACAGCAGATAAAGACACTTTCATACCTCACGTTCAGTATTGATCTGGACATTTGTTTACTCTGATAGTGATCAATAAGTAACCTGATCAATGTCTTGTTTCCTCTGCAGCAGAACTAATAATCCGCAGAGTTTTTTTTATATAATGTATTGTAATAAACGTGTTTTATGATGTTTTTTTGTGTGTCTGGGGAGCAGCTCGGTGCAAATAGTCTCACAGCAACCAGAAATCCATCACAGTTTGGACAAATGTGAAATCCAACAGATTTCTGACTTTTTTTAAAAACGTTTTTAATTCTGAGAAAAAAATTTGAATCCTTTTTTGTAGATAATCACCACCTGTCACGATAATTTTTGCTGGATGTTAAATTTTCTGAGAAAATATTGCGATACGTGATAATATCGTTTATGGACCTTTTTAAATTAATACTATGCACCGCACGCTTATAAACTTTATATTTTTTCTACTAACAGAACTTAACACTTTTATCCAAATAATTTCTACCGTCCTCGTCGAGCCTGCATCACTGACGGCACGGCTTGGGGTGAGTTAAATTTAAGACTTTTAAGACCTCTTTAATGCCACTTGAAGTTTTGAAGTTAAACTCAAGACCAACTTCACAATAAACACAAAAAATAAACTTTAACACAAAACAACGAGCTTTATGTTACCAATTGTTTTAATATTTGAGACAAATGAATCCTTACAATGTGTCACATTTTTAGGACCTCTGAAAGATGGATTTAAGAGATTTTAAGGCTAATTAAGGCCTTATTTTTAGATTGATGAACTTAATTCCTTTAGAGAACTCTGACTTTATTCTGTGCCAAACTCCAGCAGACCTGAACAATTAAAACATCAAATATAGTTTCATGTAATTATAATTACATAATAAATCATAAAAAATAACTTCAACCTGAAGTTTTGGGAGCTCTGCTGGTCAGGATCTCTTCCTTCCTTGGGTTAAGCTTTCAATTCAAAGCATTTTGACTCAAAAAATTTAAATATGAAAAATGTATATTTAAGGGGGCATTTGTCTCTGCTTCATTTTGTTGTTTGTACTTGTTACTTTTATTGTGTATATATATTTTTAAAGAAATTAATAAAAATTTATGATATTTTCATTTTGATCTTCTGATCAAAACCTAAAGAGACGATGCAGTCCACATCTGATGTTTTGGTCCAATAATTTAGAGAAAAACAGCAGAATCAGATGGTGGTCTCACAGCGCCCCCTGCAGACACATGGAGGTACTGCACTTCAGATTACACTAAAAAACGGGTGCATGAAATGCAGGATGTTTCTGCTTAAAGCTGCCAATGAAATAACAGTAATTACTGAGCATTTAGGGTTTTTTCAGGCACGTTTCAGACTTCAGACGAGTCAGGAAACAGGACTGCTCCTCTAAAGGCCCACAAATAATGAAAAAATAATGTTTCTAACTGTGATTGCAGTTCTGAGGACACCTGTTTGAGCTACACCTGCTTTGATTGGACCGAAGCACGCTGATTTAAAGTAAACAAGTGATGCTTTTAAATCCATTTTCACATTTAAATCCTTCAGTTGGGGTATGTAGAAAGCTGGTCTGAATTCCTCCTTACTGCAACTGCACAAGCCCCGCCCCTTTTCTGAGGTGTGTCTCAGATCAGACACACCTCAGACTTTGAGGCACCAGACAAAATATTTTTCTGCACTTCTGGGGACTCCAAGTACACAACAAAATGTGTTTAATGGCTAAAGATTTTTTTAGCAGGACATGTCCCCTTTAAAACTGTTACTATACTAGAATTAACACTTCTGTGAGCAGAACGTCCATCAAAAACATCATGGTGTAAACAAGTCGGCAAACATCTCCTGAAGGCTCCTAACACAAGCCTGAATACAGAGTTGTAAAGTAACGAAGTACAAACACGTTTGTTACTGTACTTAAATAGACTTTTTGGGTATTTCTGCTTTACTTGAGTAATTATTTTCAGCCTACTTTTACTTCTACATCTTATATTTAAAAAAAAGACGAGAAGTAAAAAGTAGAAAGTAGAATATTCAGCAGGAGAAACGTGATCAGAGCCTGCAGGTTTTAAATAAAGTTTTTATTAAAGGAATTAATCAAACTGAACAAATACTTCCTCATATTAAAAAATAAGATCTCTCTCTCACACACAGACACACAAACACACACAAACACAAACACTCGTAACTGTGATAAATAATATGTACAGTCCAGATGTGTGGAACTCAAGCCCATTGATGAAGACGTGGAGAGATGAAGATCACTCTGCAGCGTTGGAGCCCGAGTCTGAGGAGAACATGAAAACCAGACTAATATCAGAAACTAAAAGTAAAACATTTTTAATCTAAAATGTTATCAAATATACCAAATATATACAATATACCAAATATATACAATATACCAAATATCTTTTTAAAAACTCACAGAAATGACCTGAAACTGATCCCCTTTGAACCTGTGTTCCTCCTAAAGCTCGTCTCACCACTTCCTGTCTTTCTACGTGTCCAGCTGTAAAGTTCTGTCCTCTCATCAGGACACCTGAACGTGTCGTCTGATCTAAACCAGCTCTCCTCCATCATCTCATTCATGCCAACAACATCCATCAGCTGCGGCTCCACTTACTCTTCCCATCACAGGCCACGATCTTCACTTTGTCCACCTTCACCATGTCCGTCACCTCCCTGAACTCCACGTCGTTCAGAACGAACGTCCACACGTTGTCACAGAACCTGTAGGTGTTCAGAGAGCCCTGCAGGAGGAACCACAACCAGTTCAACACAACAACACACTGACACTACACAGGTTTAACACACTGACACTACACAGGTTTAACACACTGACTCTACACTGGTGTCAGAGATATGACTTACTTTGTCTTGTAGGTTATGATGACACATTACTGTTTAGTCTGAATCCTAACTTTATGTAAATTTATTGAGTATTTTTTGCTGTTAATATAAAGAGGAAACCTCATATAGCATTTGTATATCAAGATGTTCCAGTTGTAAAAACAAAAACATTGCTAGCTCACAGGGAAAAACTTACAATTTTAAGGC